TTCAACCATCATTCATATTGCTCTGCCTGATTCATTCTCCTGAAACTTTTACCTTTTCGGGTCTCTTCTGTTATTCAAAAATCTTTAATGATGACACATCATCTATAAGATAAAGCCCCAAAATATGACTAAGGCATTTAAAATGCCTCAGATTCTCTTTGTTGTTGACTCAGCTCCCAATGCTCGTGAATAAGCACTTGATTGAGTTCAGCTGTGATCAACCATTCTGAATCAAGATCTGCAAACCGTGTATTGACTCATGTTATTTTTTTCCTGCCTAGCATTATCAATCTCACCTAGTGACTGATCATATCCAAAATATCCTCTCTCTCTCATTCAGTTTCTACTGTATCTGTTGGAAAATAATCATTTCATGTTTATCATGGTAGATAATATAGAAGTCCATGAGATATTGAAAATAATTTTAGTACATGATATTTTTCTTTATCTCATTAGTTTAAAACAACAATCTCTTGTATTTTTCTAATTATTAAACTGTTGAGATCAAAAACCAAATCTCAAAGTGCCCTACATGATAATGTATACATTATTCTTACTCAAATATTTGATTTTAAGTGATTTTAAAATGCATTTCTTTTCATACCACAAAAGCATCTATCATAGCATTTTGCACATAGTAGATATTTAATAAAAATATTGACTAATGCCGAATGAAGAACTTCTGAAAAAGTGCTTATTCACAAAGGAGAGAATTGGTAGAGTGAATAACCAGCGCACAGTCCTTTGTCCCTAAGTACAGACAACAAGGTCCTTTATCTAATAGGTTAGATATCTTAGGTATCTTACTTAGGTATCTAAGTAAAAGGTTTTTTGGAGGGTGTTAGGAGGGCTATGAAACAAGATTTCAATGCTACAGATCAAGGAAATAATCTTGATCTATATCAAGATCTGTATCAAGATCAATGCTGCAACCAGCAGAAAAGCCCACTCACAATACAGAGCTTTTCTAAAAGAAACTTCACTCTAGCTGCTTCATGGCACTCATCATTTGTGATACCAGGGGCTAAATCTTAAAACTACCAAGTTCTTCACAAAGTTTGCAAGAAGAGCTGCTCCCTGACTTCTTCCAAATTCTGTATAAGAATATTGGCTGGGCAGAACAGAGGTCATACTCAAAAATTGAAACTTCTACACAGGATCTAGAAGGTGTAGTTTCTTGCTTTTCTAGCTTTTGCAAATAAGCTAGAAGTATTTTGAAGGGGATTGAGCGATGTATGTACAGTATTCGTGATTCTCAGAAGTTATTTCTGACAAAGGTGTTAATAAGAACAATATGAATGACAACAAATTTATCAAGTTGGAGACAGATTATACTTGAACTATATTTGTCAGTGATCATTCCGTTTCTTATTCTATATAGTAGTGAGATTTAAACATAATGACTAAAAATAAAAATGATGAGTTGATGGATTCTACAAATTCTACAAATTCTTTTACTCCAAGTGATTTGCTGAAGAGGATAGACTTTCAAACTTTCATGAACTATTGGTGTCCTTAATACCATGCTAATGTTTGTCTCATTTAACATCATCTCAAATCTATATTGGTTTTATTTTACCTAGGTTATTAGTTTAAAACACTATGCCCTCTGAGAATTCTTAATGGTCTATTTATTGCCATGATACAATTATTTTAAATTTTTACTCGAAATCAGTAAAGAAATAAATTGTGTTTTAATCAGGAGATTTAATAAAACACGTATTTCAGATGCTTTAAAATTAAATCAGTGAATAGCATGATAGAGAAAATACATGCTAAGTGTTATAACGCAACCCAGATGTACTGAGTAGCAAAGAGTTAAATCATTTTAGTTTGGGGAGAAATAAGTCATAACTTTGGTATAGGTTCAAATACTGACATCGAAATATTCATTCATTCATTTATCAACAATTTGTTCAAGGACCTACAAATTCTAGATGATTTTTAGGGTACAAAATAATATGATGGGCCTGTTCCAGAAGAATTTGAAGTCTACTAGATATCATTTTTAATATTACTATTATTACTGATAGTATTATTATTTTCACATACTTTATCTTTCAGAACTGAATTGATTACTACAATTTTTTCAGTTTTTCCAGCAACGATGTTCGCTATGTCGAGTTCTATCTGGAGACAGATGGGGCATACCAACATAAGCAAGAAAACAACAGAAAATATATAGCTAGTTAAATGTTTGCCAAGTTAATTTATCATCTTTTCTTATATGCATGAGACATGTGGGAACAGGATGATTAGTGAGCTAAGTTGGTTGTTAATTTCCAATCAGCCACACCTTGAAAGAATAACACCTGGGAAGACTTCAGGTGATGTGATACAATCTGGATAGGCCAAAATTACAAGCAACATTATACATATTCAGGCTCCCTGGTCATAGGATGCAAAAATAGGAGGACTTAAGAAGTTAACAAAGCAAACAGAGCCAGTAACAAGCTTTACTTATTTCAGAGTTTGCCAAGGATTGATCCTGAACTCTATTAGGCTTCTGAATAATTAAGTAAATCCCTCTGAAACTTCATCCAATATACACTGCTAAAAAAAGATCAAAACACAAATAATTATGCTTTGGAAAATCACACTATGGCTAATTTTAAACCCAAATAATAAAACTATAATTTGAGGTACATTCTCCACATTTTCTGATAAAAGTTCAAAATAAATCTGGAGTAAATCAAGAAGTATTATAATCCAACACTTTTTCTTTGATATATCAAGTTTGTCACTGTCATAAAATGAAATTAGATTAGTTTAACAAAACTTATTCTTCACCTACCTATATTTATTTATAAGAATCACAGTATTTTAGAGCTGAAAGGGGCTTTAATGATCATAAATGAAATTGTCATTCTTCTCTAAGGAGAATAAATGTTTTATAAAACTGCATAAGTGTAAGAACCACACATTTATATGTTTAGGAATCAGTGAGAAAATAATATTGTTTCTGACATATTTAATACAATCACAGATTGTACAATGAAATAGATACCTTAACACTACCATTATTTTTCAAGACATTTACCAAAAAGAATTTGAACTCAACATTACTCTAAGAAACAATCTGATAAGTTTCTTAATACTTAGCTTTTTGATGCTGAATTTAAGCATTTTATATTGCTACGTTAGAGATTGAGAGACAGATCACTATCATTTGTATTCAAATTTATTAAAAACACATAATCATTATCCCCTTTTCAAGTCCCATAGTCTTTTATATCATATAAAGTATCTTTAATATAATTTCTTTCCTCCTTTTTCATCAGCTCACAAATATTAATATAATGACAGATTGGCAAGGCTGAGATATTATTTTTTATAAAGAATAGCCCTGGAAGTGAGGCAAGAATAAATTTGATATTTCTGATACAAAGGAGGAAACCTGTGACAAATCCAAAACATCCATATTTTAAAAACTTGTTTCTATGCAATAAACATACTGAATTTAGAAATGTTCAATTCCCAATGTTTTACAAGTACTTTTACTTCATGTCTTCCATTTGTCTACTTGTATTCCTTTTGACCAAAAAAATGGCATTTATACCTCATTAGAAAAAATACTTCATGAACCAAAACATAATATTACTTATATTTAATTTTATAAGCAATATATACATATTTGACTAAACATAATTTAAATGTTACATTTCAAAAAATAATAAATAAAATATAAATGCAAGCTGAAAGGAAATTTGTAATGAATATTGGAAAAGATTTATAGTCTCACCAAATTTAAGCCATTTATTAGAGAATCCCTGTTCTTTGAAGCATAAGCATACCTCCAATTGTATTTACTTTTTTTCCAATAAAATAACCCTTTCTACCATGCTATGCTGAACCTTACTTTCCTGTTCTATAGTGTCTCCCTCAAAAAATAACTTAGGCAGATTCCATAATTTCTCTGCCATGTTTTTATTTTTAAAATAGTCTCTTGCTGGAATTTACCACTCAGATCCATTCTTTTAGAACTTTAATCTCAAACTTAAATTAAAAGTGTCCGTCACAGGTTGGGTGCAATGGCTCATGCCTGTAATCCTAGCACTTTGGGAGGTTGAGACAGGAGGCTCACTTGAGCCCAAGAGTTTGAGGTTGCAGTGAGCTATGATGATGCCACTGCACTCTAACCTGGGCAACAGAGTGAGAACCTATCTCAAAAAAAAAAAAAAAAAGTACAATTGTGACTCTGTAAGGTGAGGGGCAGAAGTATTTCCTCTTTCAAACATACCCTATTCCATTATAATCTAGGTGGTAGCTGCTACACCGTTTGACTGTGAGGAAAGACATCAAGGTTGCCATCCTCTCTCTTATTTGTGGCTGTCTTTTGTGGGGCAATAGTGTTTCCTTACTGAAGAAGACCTAAAGCTCTGATGCATCCTACCACAGATCCTCTTGTATTGGTATCCATTGTTTAGTTGGCTTTTATCGATGGGCAAATCTTACAAAAAGACTCAATACCACCTATGCTTTTTGTGTACACATAGCACAGGAAATCCATGCATCCTTGCCATACTGACTATTGGAAATGTAGATGCTTCACTGCTATCTCTTATCTAGGCCTCACTCAGTCTTTATAATTATTATTTTTTTCACTGCTATGTCTAGCAGAGGTGAAGATTAGCAAACGTGCTGCTTAAGTAGCTGTCCACGCAGGAGAATAGAGAAAATTGGCTGTAACCTCTTCTATTTCTCCTTTTCCATTTGGCCCTTATAGTGACCATCAGGCCAAGACAAGAGGGGAGGGGCTAGGAGACACTAGAAAGGGATGTGGAAGTGAGGTTAATTCTGAGACCACTCTTCAAGCCAGTACAGTATCATTTTTAATAAAAAACAGAAAATAAATATCCAAGGCAAAAATTATCATCAAATAAATTAGATAATATCTATATGAAGAAATACTATGTAAAATATTAAAACTATGAAGACTTACAAATTCTAATAATATAATGTTATGCAAACACAATGATCCAAAATTCCATTATACTTACCATGACCTGGAGGAAATTTTTTCCATTTAATGAGAGCAGTTAGCTCATATATGGATAAAGTAGGCCATTCCTCATAAAAAGGACACTTACGAATTAATTTCAACTTTCGTATATTTTCAAGTTTTCTTTTTTCCTGGAAAAGAATGTTATTATCAAATTTGCATTAATAGGTAATTTACAAAGAAAAGCAAATAGCACATAGATAAATGGCAGGAAAAGAAAAAAGATACATGAATATAAATGAGTATAAAACACATTTGAATTTTATTGAAGCATCACTTTATGATCACAGCCATATTAACATTTTAATCTTCATATCTGCTTACTGAAATTGTATCTTCCCACCTTTCATAACATTTTATGCTTCTGTAAATATTTGAATATTTATTAAAAATGTCCTAGTCAAGACTAAACTCAAAAATTTTATTTGATAATATCAAGTAAGCGGTACTGATGCTTGGACAATAAAAACAAAATATATATAACATTATTTTAAAACCAGCCACTCTGAAACTCAAATGTGGACACCAGGGATTTGGAATGAATTTGAATTCTGAGAGCCATCTGCACTACTGACACTGAGACCACCATATCAAAAGAAATCCCCACCATTAGAGACCAAAGTAAGAAAGTGGATGTCTTCTGAGCTCCATCCCACATGAACCCCTAACCATGGCTTTTGCCAGTACTCTGTGAGACCTGCACCAGAGTTAGGCCCTATCAAAAAAAGATAGAACAGTAGGACTATGGGAACCTTCCAATCCCATTATTTATACACACTTCCTCTGCTATCCAGGAAAGAAGTAGGAGAAAAGGAAAAGTTTGAATTTAACTAGAAAGGAGTAAATTATTAAATATTAAGTAAGTTATTTTAAAGCAGCAGAATTAGTGGGTCAGAATTAAGTTGTTATCATGTATTAATGCAGCTCTGAGTCTGATGTCTGTTGTAACTATGAAATGGCATGACAATCACCCCCAAGTATTTTTGGCTCTAAGGTAGACTGTAGAGATTGGGAAAGCAGTAGCATTGCTATCTGCCTTACCATTTTATTATTCCCAGCATACGACATGCTGTGGACACTCAAAGCACATATTTCTTGAATGAATGAATGAATGAATGAATGGATTTGAAATTGATGAAAAACCAAAGGGGACACAAAAATATACCTAAAATATATCCATACAAACCTTTGTTTATACCTCGACTATGCATTAGCAGCAAAGGTTTAAATGATGTTCAATAAATAAATAAGCCACATTTTTCTGATTTCCAGGTCAAGTCAAATTTTAAAAATTAAAAAATAAGATATCGACATCTTTGTCTAGAGAGGAAAACATTAGCTTGAGTTTATGCCCATATTATGCTAATATTAATATATAGATTAGATATGGTCATACCGATTTTAATTTTTTATAATCATTTGCAGGGATTTTAATCATTTCACAATCATCTAATGTCAGCACTGAGAACTCCTGCGCTTCAATCGCGGGTTTAATTTCCAGGGATCCAAAGGTGCTCCATCTTTTAAGCTGTAAAAATAGCAAAGGCAAATTCAACCTTATTACCACTCATCAACATAAAAATCCCAGTGAAGGTGATAGGTGTAGATGAGTCTGCAAAAGGTACTATTGTAGGTCAAGCTCCAATTCTATGAAAGAAAGAGTTCTAAACAGTCTCTGAATAGATGGCTCATACTCTTGCCCAATTTCACTTCCCCAAGGAAAAAAAATTCCATCCTTTTTCACCAACGTGAAGAAAATAACATTTAAAAAAGATCTATTTTAGTCCCTGATTCATTTTAAATGCCTATGATAGTGCTTGGCACATAGAGGCCTTTCAATGGATAGTAGTGGAAAGAATGAAGGATGGTACACTTATATAGATGGTCTTCTGTTTGCTTTATTATCATATGTTGGTAAAATAATAATAACAAAAGTGAATATAGTGTTAAACAGTGTATAAATCATTAACATACATTTATATAAGCTCCCCTAATTTCACACGTGAAAGATAAATATTAAAGCATGTAAGATGTTACCATTAGAGTTCATATTGTAAATTATTAGGTTATAATGAGGTGATATATAGCTACCTAGAGGATCTATATTCATGTTTGCCTGGGATAAACTGGAAGGCATGTGAAGGACAAGGGGCATGTTATTGTGAGAGATTGAGGAGCTTTTGAGGGAAAACATCATGTCAGTATGGCTATCTAAAATGATATGGGAGGACCTGCACTTTTCTACTTCAAATCCATAGAAAGACTGAGTATTTTTCTTTTTTACTAAATATATAACTGAGCTTGAATCCGCAAGTCCAGATGTAAAGAAGAAATTTACAGTATCAAAAAGTCACTGCTGAAGCCAAAATGGTCCACAGCACTATCAAACAAGAATGAGATCCTCAGGGGCTGAGTTCTGGGCTTGTACTAGTAGAAACAGGAGATGACTTTCAGGACCATACAAGGTTGAGGAATGGAATTGAGTCTCCTTGCCTAAACCCTAAGAACTTGGAGGATTCCCTCACATGTGAAATGGAGACAAGAAAATCTCTACCCACCAATCTATGAAAGCCCCGTAGAGGCTTGCCTTCTAGCTGTGGAACTGGGCAGACTTGCCACAAAATCAGGAACCTAGATCTGCAACTTGTGCAGGTGTGCTTGTGTGGTACATTTACACATAGTAGAAGACCTAAAGCTGAAAAATTAATGTAAAGCCTCATACACAACTGGCAAAAGCCCTAGGATCTAAGAAAAGGCAAACATTGAACTTCATGAATTCAATTCAGAGAAAGAGGAATTCCCATAGAAAGCAATCTTTGCTGATGAAAAAAGCATGATTAAAAAAATAACTATAAGCCACACAAGCGAATAGATACCCTATGAGGGAAAGTCAACAAAGAAGTAGACAGAAAAAAATTAAACAACCCCCAAAAAGCTATGTGCATTCAAAATATTTAGACTGCAATTGGAGCATGACATGATGGAAGAATAAAGAGGAATTTTGGAAAAGAACAAAATTAAACTTCTGTAAATAAGCTTTATTGAAAGAAAAATGTAATGGACACATTAATTTATAGATTGAAACTAATTTAAAAAGAAAGAATTCATGAAATGGATAATATTTGAGAAAATAATCCAAAACAAAATATAGAAATAAAGGAAATAAGAAGGAGGTTTTAGTAGATATGGAAGATATCTGGAGGCCATTCAGCATATATCTAATAGAAATTCCAGAAGAAACCAAACAGAATGGAAGAAGGGTGATACATGAAAACAGTTGCAAATTTTCTGGAGTTGAGGGAAGTCTTCCAAATAAAGGAACACACAAAACCTAGAGATGAATCTGCATTTTATATTCCTGCCACGGATTTGGTATACTCCTCAACCATTCTCCTCTTCCAGATCTCTCCTTTACCATCTTGTTAGCTATTAATAATTTCAAGCAGATGTTTTCTACATATATTTTCCCAGATTTTCTAATTGTTTTTAGTGTATTAGTTTGAATTACCTAATAAGCCATATGAATGCAGAAGTCCTCCTTGACTTTGAATAACATTCTTAAAGCTTTCTTTCTTGATTCATTAACCAACATCATCAGACTTACTAATATTAATAATTAAGAAATGATAAACCTTCCAATATCCTTTGCATACCTAATTATTTTAGTGGAACTATTTTTTGAATTATTAATATCTATAACATTTCTATTTTGTTCTATAAATATGGTCACCTCAATATGGTTCTCAGGAAAAATAACTTTCAATCTAAAATTCTGTATTTACTTTAAAAAGTAATTTAGAATGAGAGTAAAAGAAGATATTAGTTTTATTTTTTTTAATTTCAGCATATTATGTGGGTATAAATGTTTAGGTTATATGTATTGCTTTTGCCCCGCCAGAGTCAGAGCTTCAGGCTTGTCCATCCCCCAGACGGTGTGCACCGCAGCCATTAGGTGTGAATATACCCATCCCTTCCTCCCCCTCCCACCTGCCCAACACCTGATGAATATTACTATTAAATGTGCACATAACTGTTGATCAGTTAATACCAATTTGATGGTGAGTACATATGGTGCTTGTTTTTCCATGTTTGTGATACTTCACTTAGTAGAATGGGCTCCAGCTCCATTGTTTTTATGGCTGAGTAGAACTCCATGATATACATATACCACATCTTTGAATCCACTCATGTATTGATGGGCACTTGGGTTGTTTCCACATCTTTGCAATTGTGAATTATACTGCTATGAACATTCTAGTGCAGATGTCTTTTTATAGAATGTTGTTTTTTTTTTCCCCCTTTGGATATATACCCAGTAATGGGATCAAATGGTAAGATGTTAGTTTTAGACTTTGTGAAACAAATTATTAAAAGATGAATTTCAGCTATAATAATACTGAAAGAGAAGGAGTGCAAAGAAGTTAATAAAACCTTTGTAAATGTGAATGACATTATAGATAATCATTTTTAAATGACTAAGATGAGATGTCTTTAAAATAAGAGAGATTTCAAATGCTTTTACAATAGTGACTCAGAAGAGAGAACTGGGAATTTAGAATGAAAATATTGAGGATCTTTACATTCTGGAACTAGGAAAGAAACAATTATATAGGTTTTCTTATTTCAAATTAAAAATTTTATTATATAAAAATTGGAACTTTGAGGATGAATAAAGAAAATAAACTCAATGCCAAAAATAAAGAAGTGATGAAGTGAGGACAATATGACAAATATAAAGAATAGTATTTTAAATATCTAATAAATATCTATACTTTGACTTAGAAATAGAAAATGACAAAACCAAATAATTATAGACAAAATGCTAAAAATATTTTTTAAAGAATTTCCAAAATAGAAGACCTGAATGACCTCCACACAATAGCAACATGCTCAACCTTGTTAAGAGACAGAAAAATGTAATTAATGTCATAATGTCACGTGTCTGTTTACCCATCAGATTGAAAATATTAAAGTACTCTAATGTATGGGACTGGGAAGATACTTCCACACATAACTCTGGGGACCATAAAAACCTTTAAAAATGAGAAATTATCTGGCAGCATCTTTTAAAATAAACACAAAAGGCATGTGATATCTTATCCAGAAAACCATCTTCTAGAAATATATCTTATAGAAAAAATGCGTTTTAAGGATGCATTTTACACAAAGTTTACTGCAGCACTTTTTAGTGGCTCCAAACTGGAATGGAATGGAATGGAATCTTTAACAGTCATCAAATTAGACATAATGAAACCAAGTCTAACTTGACTTTCTCTCTCTCTCTCTTTCTATGTGTGTGTGTGTGTGTGTGTGTGTGTGTGTGTGTGTGTATAATTGGACTCTCTCTCTCTTTGTGTATACAGGAAACCAAGTCTAACTTGATATATATCTATTCAACAAAGTCTAAGTTTTAACATACTGTTAAAAAATACTGACACCTATGTATCTTAGCCTGGAGAATTCTTATGATAAAAAAAATAGTAACAGGACACAATTCATAATTGCAAGGCTGTGGAAACAGCCCAAGTGCTCATAACTCCAAAAATGGATTAATAAAATGTGGTATATGTATACTATGGAGTACTATTCAGCTCTAAGAAACAACGGGGATATAGCACATCTTATATTTTCCTGGTTAGAGCTGGAACACATACTACTAAGTGAAGTATCCCAAGAATGGAAAAACAAGCACCACATATACTCACCAGCAAACTGGTATTAACTGAGCAGCACCTAAGTGGACACATAGGTACTACAGTAATAGGGTATTGGGCAGGTGGGAGGGGGGAGGGGGGCAGGTATATACATACATAATGAGTGAGATGTGCACCATCTGGGGGATGGTCATGCTGGAAACTCAGACTTGTGGGGGGAGAGGGGGAAAGGGCATTTATTGAAACCTTAAAATTTGTACCCCCATAATATGCCAAAATAAAAAAAAAATAGTAACAGGTAAAAATGTATGTTAAAAATCAGTTTTCTTAAAATGCACAATTACAAAAACAGCAACCCATAAAAGCATATGTAATTGTTTATATGCTAGTGTCAATTCAGAGGAAGATATTCAAAAGGACATACCAGGCTGATAGGTTTATATCTTCAGGGTCAGAAGCTAAAATGGTGGTGGAGCTAAAATGGCAGAAGATTTATTAACATTTTCTTCAAACCACCTTGCATTGTTTTCCAATGGCAATAGGAAGTATATATTAAATTTGTAAATTTTAGACACTTGTAAAAGACATTTAAAAATTCAATTTCAAAACAGCACACTGTTATTTTCTATATATGTGTTATTTTTCTTGATAGTTTTAATTAATACATAAAATATCTTGAATGATATACATCTGATGATTAGTTATCTCTGGAAACTGCAGATAATTATTGCCTGATTAATACCTCTGCATTTTCTAAATTTTTAAATAAATATAGCAGTTTTTAAATCAGTGCTATAAAGGTATTTAAATTAATTATAGCTCAATCTTTCTCAATATTTTGGAACACATTACTCATTAATATTAACACTATGTA